TGCCACTGCCACTGCCACTGCCACTGCCACTGCCACTGCCACTGCCACTGCCACTGCCACTGCCACTGCCACTGCCACTGCCACTGCCACTGCCATTAGTATGGCTGGAACCGCCCCATATTTCTTTGGCATGGCACGGCGCCAAATGCCTCTTGCTGTGACACAGTGCTAGTGCTAGTAAGTACTGTACTATAATTACAGTGCGTAATAGTACTACTAGTAGCTTCAGGGTAATCATCTATGTAAATAATTTGTAATCGTATTGCCTTCTTCATGGTTAGATATGCGCAGCATCAATGGGATCCTCACCTTTCACTTATTCCTTCTGCTCCGTAGACGACCCCCTTCTTGTGTTGTGGTCTCTGCTGTCTCCTGTTTTTTGTACAATGGCAACCGATCATCTTTCTTCTTCTTGCTGCACCGTCCTGCTGTTTGTTTTTCAATAGATCCAATAGCATTTGTGCTGCTTTGTTCCCGGTGCCTTGGTGCGTGCTGGTTTGTTGAAAACTTACACCATTTCCAGATTTCCGACGGACTGGGCACAGACTAGCCCCCACCTAATCCGTCCATATATTACCGACGGGCACTATTAATAGTCGTAGTAGTATTCGGCTGCTGTTGTACCTATGTTTTGATTGTCGATGCCATCGCTCCTCACTCGTTCTCCTACAAATGAACATTGCTCTTGCCTACCGGTTCACTTGTTGGGGGGAGCTGTTAGATGCAGAACCTGCGAGATGTTCTTGTTGTAGGTATCAAAGAATGAATCACTACAACTCAAATCGCCCCGTTTCGATCGGTTTCGCTGCTGGTCGGTCGGCACACACCGCCGACTGGTTGGCTACCAGCGGCAATGTGTTTCTCGGAGTCGGTTTCCACGAGAAGGAATCCCGGAGGCATTGGGACGAGCAGCCAACAAAACAAAAGTGGCACGATTGGGACACCTTATCGCGTTGCCGTTCCATCGACAACCATGGTTTCCCGCGTCCTCGTTAGAGTGTGCGATGGTGGTTGCCAACCCCACTTGTATTCTCTTCTAGGGTATAGTGAACAGAATGGCCACACAAGACACGATTTTCAAACTTCACACAACTAAACTCGGGAGTCCCTCTATACGATGTAATCTTTCACAACAGAGACAGCAATCGGGGGGGGGGGATTGGATTTTGTGATCGCTCGCTTTATTTTCGTGTGGTGTTCTATTGGTTTATTGGTTTGTATCAGAGCAGTTTTGATGCGGCCGGGACTACGACGAGCAAACCGCCCACGGCTTACACGGTGTCTTCCCAAAAGTCTTCGTGTCCCGTGTCGTCGTTGATATACCGTTCGGTAAACCTCGCCCTCAGTTTTGCCAGGGAGACCTTCTGGAGTTTTCGAACCTTTCGAATGGTCAGGTCCAGCTCGAGGGCGATCTCTTTCTGCGTCTTGGGAACCCCGTCGTCCAGACCGAATCGCATCTGTATGATTTGCGACTCGATGTCTTCCAGTGTGTTCCCCAGAAAGTCGTCGACGTTGTAGAGGATCATGTCCTTGAGCGCCAGATCGTCGGGCGAGGTGGCCCGGTCCTCCATCAGGCTGGTTTCCGTGATGCCGTCCTGGCTGTCGTCGAGGGATTCGGGTATCGAATCGCGGAGGGGAGCCGCTATCGATTGGGACTGTATCCACATCTGGTCCTCTCCCTCGTACTGCAGTGTCTCGTCCAAAAAGTCTTCGACGAGTTCTTCTCTCTGGACCGACTTTCCGTTGTCGAGAACGAGGCCCTCGCGTACCTCCCATTCGTCCTGGTTGTAGTAGTAGCTCTCCGTTTCGAGGGGATCGGCGATCTCGACCGTGCTCTCCATGCTGAGCGGCTTGCCGGTGCCGGTGGGATTTCCCATTCCCTTGGCTCGTTCCAGCGTAAAGGCGTCCAGGGCGATCTGGATCTGGGCTTTGGCAAAGGATTCGAAGGACTCGTTGGGACGCGCCTCGTGCTCAAAGGTTTTGAGCGCCTGCATCAGTCCGATGACGCCCTCCTGGATCAGATCGTCGTGGAGGCTGCGGCGCTGGAGGTGCGGGGAGGCCGATGCGGATGCCGCCGTGGAAGTCGACTCGATCACGTGCAGGGCCCTGAGCGTCTTTTTCACCAGGTCCTTCACCCACCGCAGGCCGGTGCGGGTGGAGTAGTTCTCAAAGTCGGGGAGATCCAGGTTCAATCGCTGCGATTTTTCCCACTTCCAGATCAGCTGCGCCAGCTGGGGGTTGATGTGGCCCTTTTCGTCCTCCAGAATGTCGACGAGCCGTGGTTTTGCTTTTGCTTTCGCTCTTGCTTCTGCCTTGCCCACGGGCGTCGTTGTTGTCACCGTGTTCAGAGACGTGCGGGTCCTCGTCGGTGCCCCGTGCCGCGATCCCGGCACAAAGGCGCAGGCACCCCGCGATTCGAGGACCGCGAGGGCGATTGCGGAAACAATGCCGGAGGCGTAGCGAGACTTCGCTGCGATGCGCATGGTTCGGTTGCGATGCGTTGAGTTGCGTTGTGTTGCGTTGCGATGAGTTGCGATGCGTAACGATGCGTAACGTGAATGCGCTGGTGGGTGCCCGGAGGAACGGAAAACAGTTGTACAACGGGGTTGATGTTGATATTCGGTGCGAAGTGTAGAAACGAAGCAATGAATGAAAATATATACAGTATTAGAAGTAATTTACTTCTAATACGAAATAGTATTAATGATACCGAAGGCACGATTGCTCGCAATTCAAAATTTGTTCTGGAGAAAGCAGGTTGCTCTCTTCGATCTTACGGACACTTGGTACACGAACCGCAGCCCCTCCTGTATGGTAGGAAGTATGTGTCACCGCGACAGATCAGCCGTGTTCATGTCTCAGCGTAGTACTACTCGTACCGTGCGGTACGGTAGCATTTGCACCCGCTATCCGTAATTCTACAGAACTTGGTGGTCGCATTTTGCGTGTCGATTCTGTTCGCGCGTCGACGGCGCACTTCCCCCATCAACAAAACGAATCTTTGTGTCACGAAGAGAACCTCTGCGATCCACTGACCGATGCTGACGAGTTCTTCTTCCATTTTCTTTGAAGGTTCCGCCCCCTTAGATACTACCGTACGGCACGTGCGCACGCGAACGAGTTTCGGACTCGTATGGTACGTACTCGTACAAACGAACGCATTTGTATCGAACGCCCATCGTTCCAATCACCAACGGTGGTTTCTTTTTTTTGGAACAGCTGGAAGGAACCTGGGACAAACCGAACTTGCGTCACGTTTAGAATAGAATCGTCGAAGGCCCCCGTACGTGCGTACTTGCTACCCCTAGCCTAGTATGAGAACCTACAGTAGGCAGTACCGTACAGTAAGTAATGTGCAGAAGCAGTTGCTACAAAAATACTACTAGTTAGGTAGGCACAAGTTCTATCATATCTATGATACATAGTTAGAGTATGGCATGTTTTTTTTATTCCAATGGGTCAAAGATCAAAGACGTCGCCCAAAAGGCGCCGTCACCTCGCGAGTCATTTTCAAGCCGTGAACAAATTGAATCGCTCTCTCTCTTCCGCGACGTCCGTACCGGTGCGGTAAGCCATGAATCGGAGCGCGGGTTGCTGTACGGTACCGTGTGGCATGTCCGCCACCCCAAACCTCGAACGGCTCGATCGTTTCACGCGGCTTCCACCATGCTTTCCAACATCGTCTTCGCGGTCCTGGCCTGCTTCGTCCTCAACGCTAGCGCAACCCATGCCTTCGTCGCAACGGCCGGCCGCAGCGGCAACAAAACCCGTCGCGGACGCCGGCTTGGCGGGCCGCAGCGACGGCCACCAGCGGAGACAGCGACGTCGCTGTCCGACATGAAGCGCCCCGTTCTGGATCGGGTGGCCTCCTTTTTGTTTCGCCTGGAAAACGACAGGGTCGAGAGCTCGTCCGTGGTGGACGACAAGGGACGGAAGGGAGAACCCATGGAGTGGAGCGAATCGGATTCCCTGGCGAACAGGTTCTCTGCCATCGTTGCCACCAACGGTCTCGGATACCGGTTCAAGCAATTCGTGGCCGACATCGTAGCGGGAGACGACTACGACGCGGAAGAAGTGAACAACAGGATCGACGTATTTATCTCGGAACACCCGGTGGCGATGTTCAGCTTTACGACCTGCCCGTTCTGCCGGCGGGCCAAGGACCTTCTCGACGAAAAAGGAATACCCTACGGCGTCATCGAGCTCGACGAACTGGACGGGAACGCCGGGAACGAACTACGGGCAAACCTAGGGAGAAAGACCGGCAGAACCTCGGTGCCGTCGATCTTTATCGGGGGAAGTTGCATCGGGGGCTGCAACGACGGGCCGGGGCTCCTGCCCCTCGAGGAATCCGGCGATCTGGACCGGATGCTGCGGGAGGTTTTATAGGCGCGCACGGATCGATCGGCGGCCTGCCTACCGAACTGCGTACCGTGCGAATAGATGCATGGTATGTGTTGCACACGATGCTCAATGCACAACCCATGGTTCCGCTGCCGCATGGGATTGTCGTGTTGCATCGAGTACCGATGCAACAGTCCGTCCGAAACAACTCGGTCATCGGTCACCCCAGCTTCGGCATTCCCGTGTTTCGGAATCCTCTAATACAGTACCGAAGAGCAAGAATGTTCCGCAGATATTTGTGCGATCAACCCGTCAATACGAAGGCAAGCAGGATTCATGTCGAAAGAACAACAAACATGCCTGCTTGCAGTGTGCAAGTGCCAATACCGTTACTTATCGTAATATTTTCTTAAAGCCGCTGAATTGTCCCCTAAGGTTAAAGCTCAAAGCACAATGATTACGAGTACGTAGAACAACTTGAAAGTACGAGTACATGTACTATTGTACACGTACGACTGACGCTGGGGTCTCGGAACAAAATTCTCCCCTGCGTAAAATGCGTTGAGGCAGTTTGATTGTTTTTCGAATTTCAATAGTCGTCTCAAATTATGACCCCTGCCCATTTTATGTACGAAGTACGAAGTAGCAAAAAGAACCCCACTTACTTGAAGCTTGGGAATAGTAATTATTCTTCTGCTCATACCAGTAGCATGCACCCAAACCTTGTAAAAAAGTGTCAGGGTTATATAATCGATTAAATAATTAATTGACGCTACTCTCGTATCGAATAGTTGGCCGGTCCACGATCGAACAGAACTGTTCCCGCTTTTAAGCTATCGTCTAAAAACTTAATATCTCTAGTCTTGAATGATAAATCTGAAATCTCACTTTCATTCATAACGTACTGAGAACACTGTATTGTTCAACGCAGAATGTGGAATGAAAACGGTACTATTCTTCTGCTTTCATATTGCAACTATTGCAAAATGTTCAAAATGATAAATATTTGTAAATATTAAGTGTTCTTCTTTGAATAATTAATCTACATTGCAGAGACGAAGATTGGGCATATTAGATTTGAACACTTTCGATTAATGTAATCATCCTTCATTGATTAATCTTAGTTCTTCAATTTCACAATACTAATTGAACAAGATCGTATTCAAATGGTTTATGTTTACTTATTGCCTACGTAGGTTACTTACGGTTTTGTTGATGCACTTACGCAGTATCAACAATATATATCCCATGCGTGACCATAAAGTAGTAATACTTGTCTTTTCCCCAGTATCCGTATAATGATTACCCGGGTTTCATCAGGGTTTGGTGCGATGAAATACAGAATAAAAATTATTAATGATTCAGATTCATTCCCCTGCCGCTGTCATAAAGCAACCGTTCTGTCCAAGCCTAACAATAACAAAACGCAATTACTTCATTCACTCTTCTTCAGAAACAATCTCCAGTCCTCTAAGGTATAACCTATGCTGTGTCTTCAAGAAACAGCTACCATCATACAATCTCGCTTGTCGCCAGACGAAAAAGCTATGAACATTTGTCCTCCTTCTGAACGCAAAGACGGAATAATGGTTGCGGGCCCACAGTATTCATCGAAAGATCGAGATCGAGTCGATCTCCTCAAATCACCTCCGAGCAATCGGATGAAAGTATTCGGGAAGTCGCCGCCCCTGACTATGCCCACGAAAACAGTTGGAAAAGATGCTCTGGTAGAAGTTAGCGAGACGAAGAAGAAAAAGAGAAAGAAAAGAAAGAAGAAATGGACCAAACCCGAGGGGAAACCCAAGCGTCCCTTGTCCGCATACAATATATTCTTTGCGCAAGAGCGTGTGCTCATGCTCGGCAAGGACATACCTACGGCGGAACAAGAGGAGCAGAAGAAGAGAGTCCACTGCAAGACCCACGGCAAGATAAGTTTTGCTGCCATGGCACGCACGATTGGGGCAAAATGGAAGGCGCTTGACTCCAGCGAGAAGGCAATCTTCGAAGACAGAGCACGATCGGAAAAGGCTCGCTACCATGCAGAAATCACCTTGTGGAAAGAATCACAAAAATCGACGGCTTCGGCGTCCGGGGAGACCGACGCTTCTGATTCCGGAAAGACCGGTCCGGCCGGCACACCATCTATGCCAATCGCATCGACCTCTCCCGCCAAGAAATCAAGCTCAGAGCCAATTTCGGGAACGTCAAGGGCCGTGTCGGAGCCGGCTGCGGTATCGCCAGCCGAACAACTCGCAGCCTACATGAACGAAGAGTCGTTGCTTTTGAGAAGAGAGGTAGCGTCAGCAAATGCGATCGGAACGTTGCTGCCTTCCGAAAGAACAGCACCAACGCTTCCTCCTCACAGAATCAATGACAATGGTTCGAACGTGATGCGCATGATCCTCGAGGAGGAGAATCGCATTCGGTGCATGTCATTACTTGGGTTGCAATCCAATCCGTTGGCAGACTTTACTCTGTCAGACATCAGCGATGCGAGTCGTGAATATCTCAACCACCACCAGTTCCCCGAGCTCGATCAAGCATTCCTTTCCCGGCACGACATGAATCTTCAGCAGCTTCTCGCAAATCCTATGGATGCGTATTCTGGGCTTCGATCACCCCTTTCTTTCAATCACGAAGAAAGATCCCTGCGTGGAAATCTGCAACTCCCCGGTACCGACGGTTTGTCTTTTCGAGAATACCACAGCCGTTATCTTCAAGTATTGGAAGAATACGCAACGATCCTTGAAATTGAGGAACGACACAAAAGAATGATGGGGCATTTAATGAACAAATAATGGGCGACGTAGGGTTCCGTGGGAAAATAGCACCTCAAATATCATATAGACGGTTTGTAGTCATCGATAGACGTCATAATATGCCATAACGAGAGCAAATGTTTATTTTCACAAGATCGATACGGAATTGAGAGCCGATCTAATGCAGAATTTATTTCTGCTGCATTGTAGTACACAATATTGATCGACCTGAAGTCTGTATTTTATGAAAAAGATTTTTACCCGAACCAATGTTTCAGGTTTGCATGTCCGGGTCGGGCGCGTTCATATACCTGGCGAGAGAACAACGAGCTTGATGGTGTGCACAAAGATATTTTGAACTCTCATAACTCCAATCATTTTGAAAAATTAATCTTGATTCGATTTTGTATCAACGCACGTGGCATTGCTGTTATTGATACTACTACTACTGCTGCTGCTGCTGTTGCTGCTACTACTCCTAAAGCCGCTTTCTTATGTATCGGTCTTCAAATATTTCCACTAGTTCCGTTGGTTCTAGCGTTGTTGGAATTGCAGAAACGGATGGAGCCAGAGTTGTTGGGGCTGCTGTTGGTTCCATGGTCGGAGCTTCGGTTGGACGGATTTCAGTTCCACCGAACATGAAAGAGAGGGATAAGCCGATGGCTACGTATATCGCTGTGATGATGGTTTTGAGGATGAACCAGATCGTAAAGTACAAGAAGCCGAACCCAACAAATGCCAGAGCACCTACCACCGGTGCAGCGACTGCCTTTGGAACACAACCGATAATTTTAACCATACAGTGTTTTTTGTCTGGATCCTTGTTCTCACAGCAACCCCGCTTGATGCAACTGGATCCCGGAATGGAACGAGGTTTTCTTCTATCGGCCATAACCCTTCTCATCATGATACGATCAAATTCGTATCTCGCACGGAAAATTTCGTAATAATCTTCTTCCTCTGCTTCTTTACACTTGGGAGCAGTCCCAATAAAGTAATCCGAATCGTACAATAAGCGTTTCATTCGATTGAATACTCGCTTGTCGAAACCCCTTTTAACGCCTAGCTTGATCACAGCAGCCTGCGATGCACGAACGAAAGCTTGTGTCCCTGGATGGTTTGGATGATTGAAATAGACATCGCGACAATGTGCTTCGTTCTCGATGAGGAACCGTTCGCCCTCATAAAATGGCTTAATCGCCTTGTGGAGCTCTTTTGGAGGAATTTCTTCTACCTCGTCTTCGTCATCTAAGTCAATTTCGTCTTCGTCCTCTTCGGTAAAGCATCCGAATCCATATTCCTTATCTGTACTACTATCATCATCGCTGTCGCTGTCGCTGTCACTACTATCACTACCACTGCTACTGCTATCATCGTCGTCGGTATTGTTGCTTACAACCCGAAAGAAGAACATTCCGTCCATTTCCTTCAATATTTGCTTGCTGATTTTCTTTGAGTATTTGGAACAATCGTTTTCTTCCGCCACCTCTCGAGCTACCTCCCGTAACTTCCTCGTTCCTGGACACCAATCGTTGTCGATGTGTACGTATGGGCATACATCGGAACTTGCTGTAGAGGAAGAGGAAGATGAAGAACTGCCGGACGAGGAAGATGAACTCGAACAGGACGACCCAGAGGACGATGCAGTAGAGTAACCTCCCATGTTACAACTGAGAACTATTTGTTTGCACTCTTTGCGAGTCGATCGAACTTTCGTAGAGCACGGGACGGTTGTTGTTGGTACTGCTGTTGATAACTATTCTTCTCATTTACAGCTATTCAAATCATTTTTTCTTTCAAACACTTGCGTTACTACGTGCCAACAAAAATATGTTTTACCGCATTCGGAGAGCCTCTTTTGAATCGCGTCCTCTCTGGCCCTCAAGCAAACTGTAATCTTTGTTCAGAAGAACTTTCTCTCGAATTTTCAGTGGTCTGAGCCATATTAAGTATAAGTAATGAAGGAGAATACAACTTAAGCTCAAAAAGAATCTTGATTCAATTTATTTTTAATCTAAAAAGGCTATTAGTTCAGGGGTCATAATTTAGAGGGGTGCGCAACGAATCGAAAATTCCTCATTACGAAATGGAGAAAAAAAGAAACTCATACGGTATTCCACGTGTGGTCCAAAATTCCAAAAAGTCCCCCCAGGATTTTTTTAAATTCTCATTTTTACTGCATGATACTACTAGTCAAACTATCCAACCTTTAGGTAGTTACAGCTTTATCAAAAATACTACTATTTTAATTTTTGAGTTGTCAGTCTAACCCAGTTTTTAATGATGATTCTGAATATACCATTTTGTAGGATATTTAATTGATATTTGTGGTACTACTTTACTATTGAAAGAAAATGAACATGATTACTACTAGTAGTACTACTAGCTAGTAGTGGTGGTGGTATTAGTCCTCGTTTACAAGAAATGGATTAAGAAGTTCTCCAGGTGTGCACTAGTGGTACTCTTTGTCTTGCAAAACCAGCAACACATGTACAACTTATACAGAGCAACAAGAAAAGTAGCTTGTAGTAAAAGAAACAGGCAAATCTTTGATACTACTCATAAATTTCTTTTTTGTATCAAAAATTTGCTTTTTCCTTGCACTATCCTAAATATTTGACCATAGCTCCCTCCCAGCAAACAAAAAGAATGCAACATAATGGGAGTGCATATACTGGGCGACCAAGCATAGGGATCACTTGGTGGCAGAATGGGAAGGAAAACAAAAGACCCCCAAGGAGAGGCGCAGAAGGGACAGAACAACACCCCAGATTGCCATCTGCAGGTATGCTGACTCCTCCTTTGTCTTCCTCTTCCAGTCAGGGGATGAACAAACACTCCTTAAATGTTGTAGAATAGACCACAGGGTCTTCACTAGAGATCTCCTGAGCTATTTGGACCAGCTTTCAACAGATACACAGTCAACAAGAACAATGAGATTGTTCTTCTCCCCCCTACCACTAGGAGTGGCAGAAAGAAGGGAGCTCCTAGGGAGGCAGATACAACTTGTTGTCTTGTAGTAGTAGTACTCTTCTGGTATACAACAACTACTACTAGAGGCTCTGTTGCCAGGGGAATGGCTATGGCATTTGGTCTTACATCCACAGTGATGTACAAATGGCTCAAGTTCTCCACGAGGATCCTGCTTTCAGTGCTTCATAAATGTCCACCTGCCATGGTCACCAGTCTGTCAAGTGAGCAAGAAATCAATGAGTATGTTAGAGCAATTGGAGCAAAATATCCAAGACTTGAAGAACAAAATGTCTAGGGAGCAGCAGATGGGCTCAAGGTTGAGATCCAGTCTTCAGATGACCTTCTCAAACAAGAGATTTCTACAATGGATGGAGGGCAAATACTCATGTGAATGGGGTATACTATGTCTTTGCACCTCATGGAAGGATCTGTATTGTTGGAACCTTCAATTGCCCAAGAGCATGGCACAATAGTGCCATTAGTGACTATGGAATGTACAACAAGATGGCCCAAGTGGGCAGTGACTGTTCTGGAGGAGCAAAGGTTGTTGTTGATTCAGCTTTTGGCTTACTTGACAGGGACTTCCTCATTCAAAGTTCACAGACAGATCCTGAGGATGAAGACAGTATCCTATTGAATAAGGACGCCACCACATTGCTTAGACAGATATCTGATTGGAGGATGAGGATGATCCAAGGACAATTCACAAGGATGAAAGATAGGCTTAGACTGGAGGACTATGGAGAGAGGAAGATCATTCTCCACTTGCTGATCAACTTGTACAACTACCAGTGTTTTACCATAGGGCACAACCACCAGATCTTGACAGTCTTCATGAAGATGCTGCCAGCATCAGCAACACACAAGGCAATGAAGGAGCCACATCACCTTCAGAACTTGGCTCCAGGATACTTCCATGTAGGGAGGAATCTGTCTCCAGTTGGAAATAATGCTTTCTTTGAATGAATTCTGTGGTCAAATTAGTTTCAAKAACAAAGAGAGTATTTAGCAAGTGCTTGTCAATTGAAGTCACCATCATTTGGCAATATTGACAACATAACAAATCAAAGCAAAAATTCAACACAGTATTCAAGCAATAATTACAAAAGCATCACTTACAACAGCACTAGTGTCCACCATGGTGGACCATGGTGGAGGAGGAAGGGATGGTTAGATGGTTAGTTTTGATTAGATGTGTTTAGTTGGAAGCTGTTTGCAGCAAAATAGGGAGCAAAAGCAACAGCAAAATACACCTTACACTGTGTTGTTTGTTGAAATGTTCACCATGGTGTCTTGAGTTGTTGAGATCAATATATACTATAATGAAGATAACAATTTATATACATTAAGACAAACAAGCAATACAATAGGCTTTAAGCATTGGTGTGAGAGGAAACAATGCGATATCTAAAAGTGTTCTGTAATGAAGATGGTATACAAAGTGCAAATCAATGCATGTGAATGCCAATCAGCAGCCTTTGAACTGAGTAAAGAATGCATGTAAATGCTGTTTGGCAGCTGTTGAACAAAGTGAACCCCAGTTCATGGGATTACAGACATGTGCTTAACAGGCACGCAACAGTGAGTTCTAATCCTGGCAAGTCCCAGGATAGAATCAGTAATATCAAGAAAATAGATAACAGCATACTAGTCTAACATGAATTGAGCTGCTGCTTTTTGCTCCTCACTGTTTGCTCATACTGCAAATTTATTGCTGATTCTAATTAATTTGGATTGTAAATTGTAGTTAGTATATGTTGTAATTCATTGCTAGTATCACCATGGGATTAATTGCTTTCACCATGAGATTTGCTGTGTCAGCGCTTGTTGATGGTGCCACCAAGCACCATCACCATTGTTCAGGCAAAGGTTTCAGCCAAGGTAAGTCACTTTTCATTTTTTTCATCAGCCCTTTGATCTCTTGCCTTCTCCCTTTCATCGGCCTTCCTGTCTCTTTCAGCTTCCCTCTCGTCCTGCTGCAGGAGATAATCTTTAAGACCAGCATCCTGTTCAGCAATTTCCTTCTTCAGCCTTCCATAGGATCTCTTTTTTGCTGGAGCAACATTGGTCAGGATGATAGGATCCTCATTGACAACATCAGTCATGTCTGAAGTTGACACCATGATCTTGTCCTCCAAGACCCCCCCAGCATCATCATTCTTGTTGGTGTTGTAAGAACCTTCGCCTGAATGAAAGGTTTCTTCTCCAGTTTCAATATCTTCCTTGATTGCAATTCCAATCAAACAATGGGGATCTCTTGCAAGCTTGACCTGCTTTGGGACAATGAGATTTCCAGTACTAGGCGCCTTCTGTCTCCTCAAGGGATTGAACTTATTTGATTTAATTGAATCCTTTGTTCTACCATAGGGATAGGGATAACCACCATGAGCCAGTCACCCTTACCAATGGGACGGATCTCTTTGATGAGAGTCATCACGGACTGCAACACAAGCTCCTCTTCCTTGTAGTTTGCAGTACCAGCCTTACAACCTGACCCATCTACTTTTGGTTGTTGCCCTCCTGCTGGTGGTGGAGGGACTGGTGTGGTCAGGAGAGGCAAACGATCCTTGTTACAAGGAGGAATAGTAGAATCAGCAAGTCATCTTTGCCTGTTGAAAAATGTGATCAATTTTGATTACAAAAAACTGTGATCAAGAAATTGGGAGATTTTGTGATCATTTTTTTATCACAATTTTTGTGATTGGTTCTGATCACATTATTGAAAAAAGGGTATTCGGGAATTCAATTTATCTGAAAAAAATTGAAATCGACATGGTTCCAGGAGGCTTTCAATTTTATCAAAAGTGTCTGGGGTTGTTCGCCTACAAGGACCAGTCACAAACTACTTCAGAAAGAAATAGACAAAAAATTAATTGTGGGATTGCTAATACAACATCACTTAACTTTTTCCCGTCGCGTGTTGCCAAATGTTGCCACCTGGAAAATTTAGGATTTTTTTTTTTGCTACTACTACTACACTGCTACTCCACTTATCACACCCTCTCATCACTATAAACAATATTATAAGAATGTATTTTAACAAATATAAATATATTCATTTATAACACATCACTACACTTGATGGTTGAAGTTACTCCAATGCTCTTTACATACAGCAACATTGCAACTTCTGCAACCATTCCTTGGCATTTGTTATACTCTGATGAGTTAGTAGGATACCTATGCTTTGCTTCTTCTACACAGATAACACAATAGTTCCTCTTTACTCCTTCATACTTGCCACTGCATCTTTCTTTATGTGGCTTTGGCATTACCTTTCCATGAGCAATGGTGCTGGTCTTCTTGTTCACACAGAAGAAACAAATCCTGCAATTGCAAGGGTGATATTTTCCATTCTTTGAAGTCTGAGGCATCCACTCTGGMTTAGAACCTTCATCATATGGAGCTTTCCAGTCCATTTCAATACCTCTATTCATCAATGCAATGCCAAGATGAGATTCAAACTTGTCTTGGTTTGTATATCTTCTATTCCTTCATAAACTCGTCACATGCTACTAGGCTAGTGATAATTATGTAGCAGGAGTGTGCCACTCTATCAAGCAACCAGAAGAAAATACGAAGGTACCATCTGATACCCATCTATATTGTTCATATAGCTTGGTCACAACTTTCATTGTAGTKTAGGAGTTCTCCGTGAACAGTTGATGACCATTTTGTTGTCCAAGATTGGATTGACATATCAACTGCTGAATAGTATCCCAGTGTCAGCATCATACAMACAGTACACCTTAATTCGGTGCTTGATTGGCTTCTTGGGGAGATACTGGACAAATTGAATGCATCTTCCTTTGTAAACAATCATAGACTCATCAACAGATAGGTCAATAT